GGCTTCAGTCGACTAGAATATTTGTTCTAGAAATACGTGTTCGGCTTCAGTCGACTAGAATATTAAATTTTGTTCTAGAAATACGAGTTCGGCTTCAGTCGACTAGAATATTTGTTCTAGAAATACATGTTTGTCAGTCAACACTCCTCGGTTTTCTTCATTTAATACTTGCTTGTTTATTTTTCAATAACGAGACTTTTCGTTTAAATGTAAATTTTTTCTCCACCATCTGAGGAGAAAAGAATATCAACGAGTCATTGGGTTCGATAAACCATTTGTCTTTACAGCTCCCTTCATTATTTTATTTTAATTGATTTTATTTGTATTTTAGTTTTGTACTTGAGTTTAAAGTCGTACTCGAGCACAAAGACTTTGTGTGCGCAGCCGCGTGAAATGAAGAGAAATATTCACGTAGCACGCTGCGTCCGAAGCCGCCATTACCATACGCCACAAAACCCTCGTTTATGCTGAATTTTACGGTACGACTTGCCAGGCTTCGGCCTAAAATATGGATAAATATTCATAGTAGATGAGCTGTTATTTAGTAATACGGATAATATATAAAATTTAGGCTCTTGACAGCAGATCTTGTTTATTAAGTATTATAAGGATGTCATATAATCACAACTCTTGACCGTTAATCCCTCCAATAAGTAATAAGGATCTTATATATAATTTCAACTCTAAACAGCTGATCCTGTTCATTAGATAAAAACAAAAAGTATTCTGTAAATATTCTGTAAAAGTAAAAACAAAAAGTATTTGAAAAAGTATTCAAAAGTATTCAAAATACTGTTAAGTGTTAGATAAAAACAAAAAGAGTACAATTTAACAATATTGAGCCTTTATGTTTAAGATATTTGAACTTTTTATAAATTGTTTGCTTGTTTCAAGATTCGTAGCGCTCTTTTCATAGTTCTCGAATGCAAATTGAATGCGGATGCTCGTTTCATCAATAGGAATCAATTTCATCTGAAAAATGTAAGGTCGGTAAGCTTGAATTGATCTCGAAATGATTGAGGTGAAGTCATTAACACATCGACAAACACGCATCTTGACTGATCGTCAACGACAAAAATTTTATGCAAGCGGGATTCTTGAACTATTGGCGGACATGCAGCCCTATTTTCACGCCGAGTTTGACTCACTGCAGGGTTGCAGATGAGAAGACCGTTCTCTCATTGCAGAAGAAGGTGATCGGGAACACTTAGGTCCTTCACTCGTCTGCACGGTGGGTGTAATCAGACAGAAAATGAGAACCTTGTCGTGGAGGAGCTGCTGGTCTGGCGCATCTTCTGAAGGGCCCTGCCTTCAAATTGGTTTTCTTTCAAAGTTTCGGCAGTTCTGAAATAGTTGCCTGGCAAGCGCCCGGCAAAGATATACTGCTGTTTCTGTAGCATAAATTGACAGAAGAGAACTTTTGGTGCGGCTTTACAGGGAATTTCGAGCGCAAACGACGACGTTGAAGGTATACTTCTTGCGAACTCAGATTGGCCTCAAGATTGATGACAGGCTGCGGCGTTTTGATGAAACGCCGTACACGCGCCTCGGTTCTCAGACTAGGTGGAAACTGTTTGTGTTTGATCCAACACATCAAATAGTGAAAAAGCCCATAAATTCATACAACCGTTAATTTCATCCTTTTAATTTGCATACCCGTGTTTGGTCCAGGCTTAGGGGTTCTAAAAACGGCAGGATTTAGGGGTTCTAAACGGCAGAATTTTATATTCTGTCTCAGCTGACGAACAAATCTGAATTGTGCAGCGATTCATTATACAGCGTGTTATGCCATATCGAGTCGTTCACTTAACTGTTCAAGGGGCTGTAATTCACAGGCAGTTCCTCTATCACCAATATTTCGCTGTCAGAAGAATTGTGATGTGATACGTGGTTCATCCTGGAAGCGACGATTGTTCTCACTGCTACGACTAAGACCTTGCCGTTTCAATGCAATACGAAACCATTTACTATAACTTTCATAGTCGTGGAAAATCACAAAAAAAAATTGAACAAAAATTCCACACCTAAAAGGCTGGAATTTCGCGCAGAAATTCTTCGAAAAGAAAGAACCAGCCATTCATATAGTCGAGGTATTGTTCTAGTTCTACGTCTCTGGCGCAGACGTTTTTCTTCCAACTTAAAGATATCAAACTCTAATTCAACATTGCAACAAAGACATTACTGAAGCTACATGCTTCTCCTTCAATTGAGGATTTAAGCGTTAATTAAACATTATTTGCTGTGTATTCTGGCAAGCCATGCGTTTTCATAGTGACCTACGCTACTGTAGTTACTATTATCGCCCGCCTACTTCCGTCACGCTTCATAAAGTGGCAAACCTTGCGGTGCTTCGATCCTGAACAACTTCCGAGAGCCAACAAACTAGCGACACTTGAGTCTGATGCATGCAGGACCCTGGGACTAGCGACACTTGAGTCTGATGCATGCAGGACCCTGGGACTAGCGGCACTGGAGTCTGATGCATGTAGGGACTCTGGGACTAACGGCACTGGAATCTGATGCACGCAGGACTATGGGACTATCGACACTTGAGTCTGATGCATGTAGGACTCTGGGACTAGCGGCATTGGAGTCTGATGCATGTAGGACCCTGGGAAGCGTGCTGTAGCTACATTGTTTTCAATATAATGATGATGTAGAAAATCAGGCCTTCTGCAACTGATTTGTTTTTGCATTTACGTATTCTAAAACGCGAAAGTTATTTTTTGCTTTAACTGTTTTATTATGTTCAATGACGATTCGCTTAATATTTTGCATCTGATATACAGTATATGCTTGAACTAATACTAATGACCAATTTTTAGGAATAATCATACATACCTATAGCAGCCTATTGAAAAAAGTAATCTGTGAATAGATGCCTTATATTCATTTTTATATGCTAGAATTTATGCACCACTGACTTGTTAACTGCGCAAGAGCCCATAAAGAGCCATTGTAATGCTCAGGGTCCTGACATAGTAAAAACAAATGAAATCCTTTACTGCAGTTCATTTAATAGTCAGTGAGGGTATAGTCCACTCCAACAAGCGCTTGCTGTTAAACAGATGTTACGACTTGCTTGCGAAGTTACTTGTGTTATCCAAGTTATGTTACTTGTGATTCCAACACTTACGATTCTAAGAGAGAACAACAATTTAAGTACTGGCTAATTTATTGAATTTATGTATCGTTAAGTGAAATTTAACTTGTCCAAGTCGAGCACAGAATCCATCCAAAATATTATAACAAGGAGTTTCAGTGACCTGTATTAAACAACTTGAGGTGCGTCAAAAAGAGTAAAATGGAGTATAAAAAGCTTGTAAAGATTTGTAACCTTAATAGATGAGAAAATAGTACAAGTGAGATTTGATATCGTTGTAGTTTGTAGGTTCTAATTTATGTTAGATATTTGGCAGCCCAATATTTATTTGTAAGTTCTAAACTTTCGAGTGCAGCGCGTTTCGTAGCCAGTTTACCGCCCGTAGCTCCTATTTCCAGTCGAAATCTAAATAATCCTAAATCCAGTCGAATTCACGATGGCAAAATTACAACGTTGCAAGCGACAAAACAAATTCGATAGTCAACTTTTGGGAAGCTTGAAGTTTTGAGTGAAATAAAGAAAATAATTAGTGTAAATCAGTTTTGTATCCTTGACGACTGACTAATTATTGTATCAAGATCTTTTGTAGTCAGATCAAAGCAGAAGAGTTTTAACTCGTTGTGAACACCGGAATTGTGAACTGAGGTCGGGTAGATCCTGCATAGCAATAATTCAAGCTTCAATAGTACACGTAATTTGGTACTTGTTTTAGAAAAAATTTTCATGCCGTGATGACGGCGCATTTTTACGGAAGTTATAAAATCATACACGGTGAACTTTGAAAGATTATAAGAAGTCGAGCGGAAGAACGTAAATTTAAAATTTACAATTCGAGTTTTTGTGAATAAATCTATTTTCCTTAATATATTATGCAAATGACATGCTCGTTTCTTATCCATTTATTCTGCGTTCAGTTTGAATTAATGTTGTTTCTGTATGAGAGATAAGTGACCTCAAATCGCTGGTTCCATGTCTCAGAAATAATATCACAAAATTCTTAATATATAAAGTGTATTAAAAAGTCCATCAATAATGTCGATATTTAAATATCGTTCATAGTGAGATACTTCATTAATAAATAAAAGCATTTCATTCCTGAGCCTCCCTAGTTTTACAAGCTTCATGCAATAATAATTCTGATAACTTTAAAAATTCTATTTCCTAGTCTATCTTGTTCAATTGTTGTTTTCATGTTTCCTCTCGCTCAACATGCAGATCGGACGAGCGGCTCTTTGTTTCTCGGTTAAACCATGTCAGATTCACAAAATATACAAGAGCTACAATGTTCCAATGTACAGACAGAATTTTCCATTAGAAATAAGCTCACGGCAAAAGGAATATTCATTTTAAGCGTCTTTTTTCATTCAAGTGTACTCGCTTCATGAAGTTCATCGAGGTATTTAAAGCAACTGCTCGTTCTAAGTTTTTAGTAAATATCAGAAGCAGTAAATGTTTCTCGGGTGAAGTTTTGAAAATCATTGGAAAGATATAATATGCATCAAACAATTATCTCGATGAAACATTGCGTAAGACTGAAAGTTGCGTAACTTCAACAATAACCAAAGTTCCTCATCGCAGCTAAAAGTTTTTGCAGCGAAAGACAAAACTTTTTCTTGCGTACCACTGAACCGAAATAATTCTTTCCTCATTAAGAGACATTGACTTAAAAAAAGTCGAGGCTTCGAGATGGGAACATTGCACAGCGGCAAGAGTTTTCCCTCAAAAAATTACGTTTATTGAAACAATCCTTGGGAAATGAGACTCATTTTTTCTTCGAAACTCACTAGTGAGGTTTTTGTGTCAACGCTTCAATTGTTCTTGAATTTGCCCGGGGCGTTGTTGTATATTTGTTTTTCTTTGGTATGGTGCACCTTCCCTGGAGTCAAAAGAGGTCCTAATGAGTTTCGTAGGAGCCAAAGAAAAGCAATCTTGTGGCGTCAGTGACCTGCTGAGCGCTCGTGTCAACATCAGCCGCAGACGACGAACGCGCGGCTCGAGCTCGGCACGCAGCCACTCTTACATCAGCCGCAGACGACAGACGCGCGGCTCGAGCTCGACACGCAGCCACTCTAACATCAGCCGCAGACGACAGACGCGCAGCTCGAGCTCGACACGCAGCCACTCTAACATCAGCCGCAGACGACAGACGCGCGGATCGAGCTCGGCACGCAGCCACTCTAACATCAGCCGCAGACGACAGACGCGCGGCCCGAGCTCGACACGCAGCCACTCTAACATCAGCAGCGGACGAGTGTGTGACTCTAGCTCGACACGCAGCCACTCTTACATCACCCGCAGACGACAGACGCGCGGCTCGAGCTCGACACTCAGCCACTCTAACATCAGCTGCGGACGTGTGCGTAACTCAAGCTCGACACGCAGCCACTCTTACATCACCCGCAGACGACAGACGCGCGGCTCGAGCTCGACACGCAGCCACTCTAACATCAGCAGCGGACGAGTGCGTAACTCAAGCTCGACACGCAGCCACTCTAACATCAGCCGCGGACTAGTGCGTGGCTCAAGCCTGACATGCAGCCACTCTCGAGCGTCGCGCTACCTGATTACTTTGAAGAAAAGAACGACATGCTCTATAAAGATATATGTTGAGCAGAACCTCGCTTGCAACTAGCAAACTCTTTGATTTTAAATAGTCGAAGTGGGGAAATATTACACAAGAGATTTTGTTAACGATTTTGATATAAGCCCAGTTTGATTTCAGTATATGCATAATTTATCCAAATCTTACTCGTGGCTCCAATTAAATTGCAATTCTAACGCAAGTAAATTACTTTGAAATTCATATACACTTCACTTACCCTGCTCAAATTTGTTACTAATTTTATTTATTGTGGTCTTTTGAAGCTTGACGGGGAACTGATGGCAGCACCGACCCTCTGATGCCTATAGTGGCAGGGGTCCCCATCGGCACCCACATTCGGGAAGGAAGGCTGAACTATGACGTTCGCCATAATTTCAATACAACCTCGCATATTATTGCATTCAAAAAACCTTTATTTGACTGATTAGTTCTTCAATCCTCGCCTTAGTTTTTTCAAGAGATTATATTTTCTTAAACGTAATTAAACCTTTTCGAAGGTTAAGGACTGCTTCAAGGCTTACCGTAACTGGGAAAATATAACCATGCATACGTATCAATTTTTAGAAAGGTCATAGTGGTCCATTCGAGATCCAGAAAACATTATGTCAATGAGCGACAGCGAAAAGTTATATTCCTCACTTGATAATTGCACAAAGATAAATTACAAGTTGTAGCACGATTTAAATAATAAAAATTTGTAGTGTTAGGTAATTGGACTCGAGGCTGGATTGATCTCTGTTATCCATGAACATAGTTGCGTTGGTGTTAATCCTCAAAGCCATACACGTTAACCTGTATTGTAAAAGGCCTTGCCTTGGCACCAACTTTACGCGTTCATTGCGAGGCTTGAATTTCATACAAATCTTCCTTTGAAGATTCCTCATCCACCACCAAACTTCGTCAACCACTCGGATATTGTCTCCTAACCCCAGGCAAAATTCATCACTATAGCGAAATTTTACGTAGTAACTAACATAAATGCATTTAGCTAATTATGATGGCCAATAATACCTATAGGCACAATAGGAACTTTCCTTTCTGACTTGCTCGGCTTCCGCAAGAAAGGAAGCTAGAACCGTTATTTGCAGGCAAACTTAGCGTCCAATAAACGCTGTTCCCTCATCCCTATACAGAAAGGCTCGAATAACTTGCTAATTTATCACGTACAACAATATTGCCACCTCCTTGCAGCATGCCTTTCATCACTTGAACTCTCATATAACTCCTGATCCGTGTAGACGTTTGATCAATCCAATCGATTAGTGGCTCTTTGAAGTACATAATTAGATCCTGCTTCTGAATTAATATGCGATCAGTAAGCGGTGAATTTTACCGCGTAATAAATCATTATTTTATACCGCATTTGTCCTTGCTACATTGTCGGCCGCTTCATTTATTTTCCCCATTAATCCCACTGTTTTTTTTCCGACGTCTAAAGGCGAAGTAGACTTCAAATTAAAAGTTATTAATCGGATTCCTTGATGTTTTAAATGGCGATTTGTGTGTTTCATTCATATTCATCACGTCTGCGAAAATACTTTCCCAATATATTGTGAATATTTTTTGTGGGCACACTGATTATATTCTCAATCGTGATCATGACTCATTCTTTCAACTCAGCGAAAAAATCACGAGCATTTATTTGAACCTTTTTTGTTGTTTTTAGCGCATTTTCTCATTTATGGAAAAAATGCACGATTGTGCTCGCCATGTCCATCTGTCTGTCTGTCCGTCCGTCCTTGACCTCACGTTTTCGTCGACGAGAAAATGCGCTCTCTGTCACTCACTGCAGTGAGTACTGAGTTATATTTTAAGAAGTTATGAACATTTCCTAGAATATACCATTCGTTGTAGCGTGCCAAATTTTGGCTGCACTGTTATAGTTTCAAGTCGCCTCACTTGTCCGATTGTTACCAAAGATAACAGGTATGGAAGCTCATCTTTCCGAGGACGTGCTGATCATCAGTCAGTAGCTAGGCTCCGATCTCTACTTCATGATTCGTTTGCGCTGTCAATTCATGTTTTATTAAACCGTAAAGAAATCTGTTCGCCATCTTAAGTTAAAAACCCTAATGTCTGTCACACTGTGAACAGTTCATACAATGTCACAAATTATCCTCTGCTTTGGTCAGGTTCGAGTTACTTCACTTTTCGACTAGTAAATGTATCTTTGAGTCCCTTACTCATTTTACTTATTTCGTTATCCTCGTATGTTAAGGGCCCGCAAGCAGAGACTCTGAATAACGTACGAGTACAAGAAGCATATTGTCGCGAAACATCGTCTTCTCTGGTAAACCTTCAGATTTGTTTAAATGTTAATCTTTTAACTCTTATCACTAATATTTATCGTATAATATTTTCAATCCTGTGACAATAATAAATGCATTCATTATATTTAGAGTTGGGGTTTTTAGTGAAGCATTTAAAATGTTAGCAATAATTCTATCGGTGATTTAATTTGCACAACCATTCGACCATTAATTTGCACAGCATTTAATTTGCACAACCATTTGCACAACCATAAATTTATCATTGTATAATGTAATTTAATCAGTGTAACTAAATTTACCTTATTGGCATGTAAGATTCTTATTCGACGTTTTTTTGGGCAAAGTTCTTCACAAATTATTTAACCGTTGCTAAATAATTCTTTATCTTTCTTGCGAATCATCCTAGCTTCTCTTGGTGACAACTTTTTCTTATTTAATTTTATAAATATCAATGATTTTTTCAAGATTAGCTGATCAGCTAAGCAATTATTAGCAATATTAGCATCAAATAGAAGTGCGAAGTAAATTTTCTTGCATCTTCGCAGCGAATATTGACCGCCACAAATTTTTTAATCACGAGCAACTCTACAAGTGCCCACTAACAGCTACGTGCCTCAAGCTCGGAAGTGTGGCATTCATGCTCTCCTAAGCCACAGTGGCGGTGGTAGGCGTTAATACACAAATGCCACAGTTGCGTGTAAGGAGAAAGTGTGGCATTTGTAACCTCTAACGCCACAGAGGCGTTATATATGGAGCGCGTATAACTCGCACGGCCATATACTTCCGCACTTACTGAGCCAAAAAGTGAAGGGTTTGTCTGAGTCTCGCAAATTACCTACATCAGTCAAGATAAAAATCATAATGGATAAAGTCGACTGGATGTTAATCTTATGGAACTTGAGACGCACTAACTCAAGTGTCTCAATGAACAGATTTCGAATAGGGTTTCGTAAATCAGGTGGTTATTTTTCAGGGAGATGAAACTTAATGAACGAGTATGTTTACCCTCATTTTAATTCCTCATTCACAAGTTTTCCTAATGGTTTGTCGTATAAACAATAAAAATTTTGTTTAACCAAACGTTAATCATAATCATTTAGAGTTCATAAAATCTTGAATTCATAAATTTGTTAATGTCTCGTGGAAATTTGATAACCATAAATATAGTTTTATTTCTCTTTAACCAAAATTTTATTTCTCTTCAACAAAATCTGTCAAAATAATCGTGCTGCTAATGACCGAGTAGTCTACGGGGTTTGCTCCTAATATTTAAATTACTATTCGAACGCTTCGCGTTTCATTTTCACTGAACGTTTTTTGTTAAAGGTATGTATTAAAAGGCAATCATTATTCGAAGGTTACTTATTAAATAAAATTCTAACTTCTTATTCACTGTCTGACTCTTTTATGAATACTAAGCTGTCAACATTGCATGACAAATCACACATAAACCAATCATTCAAAAATTCTTCGCCCAAGAACGAGTGTTGAGGTTATTCAGTTTGCTTACGAGACCATTGTTGTATGATTCAAATTTCAGAATTCCAGAATTAAACAAATAGATTAATCTGAAAAATTTAGAGCTTTGAATTCTAAGTCAAATTTAGGTACTGGAGCAGTGCATGAACTGGAATAATGTCAATTGAAAATTCCGAATAACCATGACACGATAAAAAAATATAACTCAGAACTCACTGCAGTGAGTGACAGAGAGCGTATTTTCTCGTCGACGAAAACGTGAATCACCGACGGACAGACAGACAGACGAACATGACGAGCACAATAGCGCCTTTTTTCAACAAATGAGAAAATACGCTAAAACAAATTTATACCCTATTAGGGCTTGTGCACTCAATCTGACAGAAAAGGCTTCAAGTAAAGTGTCTGGGTCTTCAGTCAGACGCTTTTCGGAAATACCTTTGGCAATATTTATAAATTAAACCACAAAGTTAAGAATTGAGTAAAAGTTTAAATAAATTTATACAGAGAAGCACTTCTGCCACTGGAAGTTGAAGGTAAGTGGCCACCGGGCAACGGGCCACTCATCGATCGTCCCACCGGCGGTGCTAGGAGCCCGAGACTGCCACCCTAGCGCACAGCTTACCAATTTCCCTTTTAAAATTTTAAAAAGTAAGTTTAAAAGCAGAAACTTGTGATAAATAAATTCTCACCAACAATATATTATTATTATTATTGAGAGAGATTGAATTTAATAACAATTATAAACGCACGTGCATAACGACTAGACAAAAATTATTATTTATTATGGCAAAATGCTTTAGAAGCAACATTGTTTTTTGCAAATCTGTAATCAAATGAATTTGATCGCATGAAAGATAAGTAAGCGGAACGAATTAAGGCTCCTACAATGCAATTCCTCTACTAAATGAAGCTCCAGTCATTAAAGTCTTATTGATGCTTCTAATAATTACAGTTAATTAAATGCTATGAATGTTCGTTCTTTTGCAGATGCGTCAACTAGCAACACGTGGACAGTTTACCGTAGTCATACCTCGGGCGTTGGCCTTCACATTGCCCCTCTTGTATTTCTAATGAAGTGGAGCGACGTTCATGCATACATACGTGAGAGCAAGTAACCGGCCTGCGCTCCAGGAATGCAGGCTATCTCAGGCCGCATGTTAATTAATAAGGAACCAGTTTATCCTAAATTAATTCTGCTTTATTTAGTGAGGAAGCGCATTTTAAAATGTGCATGGACTAGAAAGGTCTTGTTGATTATTCAGGAGGTGACATTACCGC